GCTCAAGTCATGATCTCGAGCCCACATTGGATTCTGTGCAGACAGCTTGGAGCCTGCAGCCTGCTTCCAATTCTGTGTCTCCCTTTCTTTATGCCCCTTCCCCATTCACGTTCTGTCTCTCTCTGTCTCTCTCCCTCTCTCCCAAAAATAAGTTGTTTTTTTTTTTAAAGAAAAGAAATGGAAAGATTCAACAGGCTGAAGAGACCTGGGAGTTGTCCAGCTACTGAAAAATATTCTAAGTGAGACCTAAGAGCAGACATGGACTCTTCAAATTACAGTCAAATGTGTCTGTTTTCTCTAAGAAGTGATAGGAAGCTCAGAGAAACGTCAATAGAGTTAGATAAATGGGCCTGAGGTGTAGTAAGCCGTCAGGACAATGTCCAAATCACACTGCAGAACTGGCCTTCAAACTATACAGAAAGTTGGTGTTACCCCAAAATCCCTACCAATGGCATTGTTCAGAGATGACAATGGGCAAGCTGTCCACACTGCTGTCAGTCATAAATGAGGGGAAACTGCTATCTTCTGGTAGAATTTACTAACATTGACAAAATAGTTTTGTTTCTTATTAGGACTTTACATTGTTTAAATTTATACTAGAAATTCACTTGGGAGATTAAGAGATTAATGAATACTCTCCCACTAAAAGTTAAGGTAAATGTATTTTAAACTTAGCAGGATTTGCCATTGACAATTTGGCTTTTCATCTTTTTTGATGTAATAAGAAAAATTTCAAATATAGTGAAGAGAATGGTGTAGTGAATACCATAAAACACGTTATCTAGACTGAATTATTAATAATTAGCCATATTTGCTTCACATTTTTTATTGTAAAATATTTTCTTGTATTATAAAATCTTATAAATTACAAACATAACAACACTGCACACCTAAATATCTCAGTATGCACTTCCAAAAATACTAGCATAATTTTCCACAGAACTGCAATACTGATGAAGTTTTGGGGTGATGGTGGGGTGGTCCGGAGCCAATGGCCAAAAAAGAATTCTTGATAACATCTTTGGTTCAAAAAGGCGATTTTGTTAAGGCACAAGAGCAGGACCTGTGTGCAGGAAAAGCTGCACCGGGGTTGTGGCAGGGTAACTGATTATATACCTTCAGGGCGGGGGCAGAGCGGGGGAGTTAGGGATAGAGTAAGTCTTAACATATTTTGAAAGCAGGTTTCCAGGACTTTGAGGGGCTAGCTGTTGCTAGGAAAACACCATGTATTACCTTTTAGTAAAACCTCAATCATGAGACCCTTCAGATGTATATCAAGGGCCATAAGCTTGGTGTATGATTGCAATATGTATCTTGGAAGAGTTGGGCTAAAGGAAGTTTCCAAAGGAATTTTTATATGTTAAAGTAGACTTACAGGATCCTCAAGGTTGGGATAATGTTAAGCTAAGATTCTCTTTTGCCCCTAGCAAAGTGCCATCATCAAGACAGCCAAGCTTCAAGGACTTGTCAGTGGGCTATAGGCAGTAAGAGCATTTAATTTTTCATTTGCCTTTGTTCCCCATATCACCATGGCAAGCACTTAAACCCCTTTCCTCTGTTCTTGGGTAGCCAGGAGCGTCTGAGGAATATCCCACCTGGGCGGAGGGGGGGGTTCTGTTAGCCTGTACTTTGCCCTCAGCTTGCCCCACACTCTCTCATCACCAGTATTGAACCTAATAAAATCAGTAACTCTCACATATCATCAATGTTCAGTTAGGAGAGATTTTCTAAAAACCAATTAACATCACCATGCATACTGAAGACATAACCAGGAGAAATGATATTTGTAAATCTAAGAATCTAGTATAATTTCCCTTTGAGAAACAACAAAATAAATAGCTCCCTTGTACACTGAAGAGGAATAGAGGGGTTGGGGGGGGGTTGTTTGTTTGGTTTTTTTGCATAAAATCACCAGGGAATGAGAAATGTAAATCTAAAATTATGCATAAAGACCTTCCCTGTAGCTGCGTGGAGAAATATGTCCAAACGTTCCAATATGACTGTTTCGATAGAAATGTGTAAGAATTACCGAAACTGAGACATTACATTTCTGCTTTCTCATCAATGCAGACCACTATGTGAAGTATCCAGACAATCACTTTGGAAAGAATCAGAGAGATTGCCACCCCCCACCCCTCCCTGCCCCAAAGGCTGTGACCTTTCTGGTTTTTGAGGAAAGCTCTGGCCAACACAACTCTCTCCTCTGTTCTCATAGCTATGATACTTGGGGTCTTTGTGAGGCACTGAGAAACCCCCATAGTGAAGTTCATCAACAAACCCTCAGCTACATCCTGCTCACCTCCTTCACCCTGGGCTTCCTCTGCTCCTTACTCTTCATTGGTCCCCAACACAGCCACCTGCATCCTGTGGCAATCCACATTTAGGGTGTGCTTACTATAGGTCTTTCCATGGTTTTGGCCAAAACCATCACTGTGGTCTTGGCTTTCAGGTTCACCACACCTGGGAGAAAAGTGAGTGTTGATTAGTGTCATGGGGCATCTAATTCTGGCACTTCCATCTGCTACCTGATCCAAGTGAGTCTGTAATCTGGCTAGGAAGTTCTCCCAGCTTCACTGACACAGATACTCTGAGCCTAGATATGGAATCAATTGTAAAATTCTTCAAATCTTCCCTTACCAGGTGTGCAGTGATCTCATTTTACATTCCACTTCTTGAACCATGTTTCTATCACTAGGTTTTCACTTTCTCTGCTTTCCTCAATTACAAAAGTCTTTTCCACACTCCAATCTTTAACAGGTCTTTCTACGTTTCCCCTAGCATTTCTAAAGGTTAGTTTACAGCTTTTTGTCTTCTACTCCTCTGGAATTTATTATTGAGAATTGTAAGGAACTAGCATTTCTTTCCAAGGAAAACAACAGGGAGAAGGTCTGAGTGTGACCTGTTTCTGAAGCTCCCCATGTAGGGGGTCCACATTACCAGAAGTGAGGGGACAACTGAGCCCAGGACTGAAGGGCAGGACTGGAGGGGGTTTCAGGCCAGTGGGCCCAGGTTTTAGTGAGTCCCACAGGGACACAGCAAGTGGGCAAAGTAGGCTGGGGGCTTCCTGGGAGTCCCAGGATACCTGGGGTATGTGCAGTTGCAAGTGTGCATTAAAGGGACCTCCAAAACCTCAGGGGTTGGGGTGTATCCTGTCCAGGCACCCAGTAGGTAGGTGATACACCTCCATCTTTTCAGGAGACAATGGGACTCAAATAAGGAGGAGGGTTCGCCTCTGCTGGAAAGAATATAGTCTTTGGAACAAGCCGTCAGGCACTAAGCATGTGCTGATAAAAGTTTGTAAAACAAATGATCATCATCCAGTGGTATTTGTATCAGACATGTGAGTGCAGCTGCAAAGGCCACTGGGGAAAGCCAACATGAGCTGCAAAGCCTCGAAGCTGGTATTGAGACCCCCACCCTACACACCAGGGCCTGCTGCATAGACCAGAACACTGACACCGAGAGCAGTGCAAGTTAAGCTCCAGTTGACCTCACCCAGAACTACCTACAACCACCCCACTTATAGATGGATGAACTGAGGCCAGGCTAAAGAGTGTGACTTAGCTGTGGTTGCCCAACATGCAAGCCATGGATGAAACACTACCAAGAACATAGCTGGGTATAAGCCGAAGGAGGAGCACCCTGAGTAGAAAAATGACCTAAGAGGGAAGCAGGATTGATGGCCCAGTCAGAGGCCACACAGTACCCTCCCATCTCTGGCCTTCAGATGCTTCCTGTTTCCCAGTCCCCTTGCACTATATTTCCCCAGAGTCTAAGACCTGCTACAAGTAAGTGGACTTTTTGTGAACATCCTATCAGGATTGAAGCCATTAAGGCAGGATTGAGTTGGTTATCGCAGGAGCAGACAAGAAGCCAGCAAGGAGGGAACAAGAAAAGGGAGCCACATCAGAGAGAAAAGTCAGAAGCCTAAATGTGTGCAAGCCCTAAGTGGGGCCTCATCCACCAGCTTTCACACTGTTTTCTGGGTACAATAAAGTCACTAGGTCAGAGAAATAGGACCCAATACATATGATCACTGGCTACAATGAACACACAAGATGTAAGAGTGATGTATGGGACACTAACACCTGGAGGCTCACAGAGCAGTCAGGGGAAGAGCTGGGGCCAGGACTAGAATGTCTAGCAGTAAAGAGAGAAAGCACAAAAGGTTAGAAATTTAGTTTGAAGACAGAACTCATATACCAGCTGAAGTACAGAACACATGTATGGGAGAAGGAAAGCAAGAAAGGATGACATAGGTTTTTGGCCTAATCAACTAGGTGGGCAGTAGGGCCACTGACTCAAAAGCAAAAGACAAAGGGAGATGTAGGGGCCAATAAATGTTTTGGATATGTCAAGTTTGAAATGCCCACAAAACATCTAAGTAGAAATGCTGAATAGGCAGTTGGGCTCCTGGTATCTATCCAGCTTGGGATGCAAGCTTGGGAGACACCAGCAAAGACAGCATCACAGCCACTGAGGATTAAGTCACCCAATTTGATGCAGATGTACTGGGACTATCATTTGGAGTAGCCAAACGTTGCAGAGGTCATCTACTGAAGCTCAACCCAGGTCTTCAGCCAGGATTGTTAGGGCAAGAAGCTCTCTTGTCCTAAGAACAAATCTGCCCTTCTGGGAGCTACACTGGCTCCCTGAGGATGACACATGCTCAGAAATGAAAGCAATACAAAAGACCACACACTGTGGTGAGCCTGGACCCAGAAGTGCCAGGCACCTGCCTCATCTGTATTCACCTAACACAGATAATTAGCACACAAATTCACTAATCCATTTGTACAGAAAATAGTTTTCTTACTACAATGTGATATTACAGCATAAAGCACTGCATCATTTGACAGGACGTTCTTTTATAGGTGAGCACCACTGAACAATTCTATAGCTTCCTCCATTGTCCTTATTACAAACAGCTGCTTAATGTCAGGCTAAAGATTAAGTAAAACATTCTTTCAACGACATGCTGAACACTCACTTCAGTTTATTGTAGAAGCTTTTCTGAATGGAGCTCCTTCTTCTGGCAGGAAGCACATTTCATTTGAAAACCTACAAATGGGTCTTGTGCTTATCTGAAATTTGCCCAATATGCTGATCTCACATCTGTCCAGCAGCCATGGCACCAGATCCACGGACCATGGACAAAACCACATCTGTCCAACAGCGCATTCCCAGAAAAGCTCTACACTCAACAGAAACCCCCATGCTCCCCAGGGAGGGGAACTGTTCCAGGATGGAGGACAGGCTAAAAGAAATTGAACCTGAACTCTTCATCAGGAGTGTCCAGGGTGGCCTTGGCTACCCCTGCTTGGCGAGTCCTGCAGACCCTTCCACTCTTCCTTCTGGTGGCCTCAGCTACAGGCCGCACCTGGGCTGTGCGGGCTGCTGTGGGGGAGAGGACAGAGTATCAGAACAGAGTAAAAGCAACTAACATTACCTGTGCCTTAAGACAAATCAACTGATTCACTTCTCAAAGTCTTAGGGTAGGTATTATCATCACACTCCACTTAGAATCACTGAGACATTCACTAACTCTGCTACTCTGCGTCCCAGGCCCAAGCCTGACATCTGTGTTCCAGAGAGGACCCAGCTCTCTGTCCATGTTTTCCCAGGCCTCCCTGAGTCCATCTCCTCTCTCCACCCCTGCCAGCCCTGTTACTCTAGCTTTCTTCCAGTCACTCCCTAGGTTCTTCCTCCCTACCCCCTGAAATCAACCAGTTTCCAGCTCCTCACCAGTCCTGAGAACCCGAAGGGCCTCTCGCCGCTCGGCTTCCATCTGAGCCCTGTAGTCCCCAAACAAGGAGCGCATCAGCTGCCTCTTCCGGGGCAGGGGGGTTCTTTCGCTACGCAGGGCTCGGATTGCCCCAAGAGCCTGCTCTTCTGCGGATCAAAAATAAATAAATAAATAATAACTAGGAATCTCCTCTATTCTGACCGCCTATCATCCTACAGGAAAGACAACAATTCCATCCCCTGGCACCACCTGAAGGCCACAGCTTTATCATGGTTCACCTCTCCCCAATTCTACAGAAAGGCCCCTCACTCTGTTTCTGACTGGGTCTCTGCATCTTGAGGCCCAGCTCCAGTTGCTCCACGCACCACGCCAGTTCCCGGGCCAGCTGCTCTGCCTGTGATGAAACGGGAAGAGTGGCTGTGAAACCGCACCAGGACAGCGTGGGTTCCAGCCCCATCCCACAGGCACCCCTCCCTCCCACCCTCCGTCCCCATCCCATCCCATCCCACCCCATCCCGGCCTTAACTCAGAAAAACCGAGACGACACACACCCGCTAGCACACTCACACCCGGGATGCAGCGCTGAATTCCACCCGCCCCGACAGAGGCCCGCCCTTGCCTGAGCCTCCGCGCTTAGGGGCGCTTCCTCTGAGCAGGGCTTTTCTGAGACCTTCCCGCCTCCACTCGCCACAGAGGCTCCGTTCCGGGTTTTCTTCTTCTTTTGCTTCTTAGAGGCTGCGTCGCCTTCACCACGTTCGGGGTGCGCCCGGGCGGCGGCGTCACTGCGTGTGGAGTGCCCTAAGCAGAGACGAACTGGATGGGACCTTACGGCGGGAGGACCCGGGGAGCCCGGAAACGACCCGGGGAGCCGGAAAACGACCCAGGCAGCCGCGGGCTGCGGAGCGCGGGCAGTACCTGGGCCTGCGGCCACTGATGTCTCCCGAGCAGGATGTCGTAGGGCCTGGAGAAAGGGGGCAGCACAAGGGTCATGGGGGGCCGCCAACGGCCCAAGTCCCTGGGACCCCTGCGGTCTCACCGCGCAGCTCACCGCCATGCGCCGCAGTCGCCGCCGGAGACTACGTGGGGCCTGAGGTCCGAGGCCGAAATCCCCCCTGCAGAAACGCGTGTGCGGCGCAGAGTTCCGCTGGGCACCGACGGCGATGTGGGCGGTGCCTTGGACGCACTGGGGGCGGGGGAGCGCGCGGCGCTTCGGCCGCAGGGAACCTCAGAAAGGTCGGAAGGGGAGCCTCTGGACGGCGCTCTCGTGGCACTTACTACGTTGAAGGCACCACTCTGGGTGAAAGGACAACGCCTGAAGCAAGGGAATGCTCTCAAAGCTCACTTAGTGCGGAGAGAAAAACCGTCGGGCAGAGAAGCGCCGTCAATAGCGGCCCGAAACAGGACGGCGAGCGGTCAGCAAAAACCTCCCAGGAGCAGCCTGTGCCTGGCCGGCGGGACTGGTCGAGTAGCCAAGAAGGAGGCCGGGGAGCTGGGGCCGTGGTGCTAGGCGGGCTCGGAGTTGTGCGAGATCTGGTCATAGACCCCGTAGGATAGCCCGCAGTCCACCTCTATTCTAAACGCAATGGGAAGCCATTGAGAGACCTTCATCCGAGGAGTGATGTGGTCTTACTCAGATGTGTATTTTATTTTAAAGATCACTCTGCTGTCTTGTGACGAAGGCCGGACGGGTTGGGGGCAGGTGAGCCTGAGGATGTGGAGGAGTTTCAGAAACTGAGGGGGGAAAGCCTGCGCACTTGCTGGTGGTCTGGATGTGAACACGGGAGTGGGGGGGGGGGGGGGGCGGTGCAGAGAGGGAGGCCCATCCAACCCCACAGTCTACCTTGCCCTTCTTCGCTTTCTGCCCAGGGCAGTCCTTCCACCTTATGGCACTAGAGACCCGGGTGCCTCCTGCCTGTCTGGGGTCACAGTCGTTAGCAGACCTCCACAACCAAGAGGAACTAGGAACTTCAGGAGAACAGGAGTCGTGAGTGTTGTCTTATGACTCCTGTAAGGGAAATCAGGGTAGAAAGCGTCGTTTCCTGACCCAGTGAATGGGAACCGCTGCCTGCCTGGACTGAGAGGTGTCAAAGGGTAGGAGTTTGGTCATCACAGATATTTATTGCAGCATAACAAGTTGTCACAAAATGTAGCAGATTGTAAACAGTAAACGTTATCTCATAGAGTTTCTGAGGATCAGGAATGCAGCAACAGCATAGCTGTGTGGTTCTAACTCAGGATTTCTCATGACCACTCTTGAAAGGAGGAATTTCAAAAACTTTTAGACATATTTTTAAACTACCACAGTCAGGATGTATCTCAGCCCTGGGAGACTGGAGGTTTTGGCGGTGAGTGGGTTCCAGATCCAAAGGGACTTTTTACTGCCTTGTTTGGCTGTGAATCAGCCTGTGTGATTTGGCCCAGAACTGCTTCTTCCAGAAAGCCTTCTCAGCCCAGACATCTGTAATTGAGCACAATCCTCACAGCAGACTGTCCTCTTCCACAGCCCTATATGCAATCAGCCACCCAGTCCT